CCCACCAGCCCTGGACCTCAGGGAGGCCTGGGCTGCACCTTGGGGGAAGGATGCAAGGCCTCCAGGTCAGCTCCAGATGACAGATGGTGGGGGCCTGAGTCACCAGTGACAGCCATTAGATAACGTGGCTGCCTCCCTCACCAGACTGGCAGTTCTGTGTTGGGTCCCAGGGCCTGGGCTGGGAGTCAACCAGGACTGGGAACCCTGAATGCCCCAGGAGGCTAGTGGCTGCCCCGTCACTGCCCTGCCTTGGGGCCGGCCCATCCTGCACTGCATCTGGGCCCAGGCACAAGGGAAGGGCAGAACGACCTTTGCCTGGGGCTGCAGTTTAGCCCCGCAGGGCTCAGTGACCAGCCTGTCTGAGGTCGCACCACAAAGCCCCCTGCGCTCACTGCCTGGAAGGCCCTGTCCACCTCTGCTCACTCCAGATCCAAACCGCTTGCTTTCACTTGTAGCCAGATGTCCTGGAAGATTCCTGGGGCAGCACAGGACACACACACATGCACACACGTGTACATGCATGGAGCATGGACCTCATGTTTCCCCCATGCTTAGAACAGGACCCCAGCGGGTCCCCAGTCAGCATTTGCTAAGCAAGTAGACACACGCAGCACAGGCTCAGGCCACACACGCAAACACAGGTGTGTTCAGCCTCACACACACGAGCACACTTTGCGTGCATGTTCAGCCTTGCACACGCACATGCACACTGCACCCCCACACACTTTAAGCACGTTTAGCCTTGCACATGTGACCATACTGCCCACATGCACATGCGTGTTCAGCCTCACACACAAGCACACTGCACCCCTGAACACATGTATGTTCAGCCTTGCGCACATGCAAGCGCACTGTGTCCACAAGCACACTTTGCATGCGTGGGCAGCCTTACCCAGAACAAGCACCGGGCACCCACTGGGGCTGCCTCTGCAGCCTCTCTCCCCTTATAAGGCCTCTTTGTGTAAGGCGAGGGCCCCGGAAGCACCACCTCGGCGCCCTCAGCCATGTCAGCAGGCCTGAT